ACCACCCCCCCAGCACCCCCCCATCCACCTGGGTGGCTGGGGAATCCTGGGAGTTGAAGTCCACATAACTTAAAGTTGCTAAGGTTGAGAAACACTGCTATACAAGACTGTCTCATTTACATCCCTATGTTCTTAGCTCAATATATCCTACTGGCAATGGAGGTTCCTCTGATCATAGTGCCCTTGATTATTCTGTATTTCTCCCTTTTTCCTTCTACAATTTATTACATAGGGATTCCTATCTGTGCAATAAGAGCTGAGGACTTGCCATTCTTGAAAGAGCGGGTTATAAAGGGAGATGTTCTTCTGCTTCCCAAACAAGCTCTACATGTTTGTTTGCTTCCCCCCCTCCACCCCAAAATAGATCCACCTTCTTTTTCATCCTGAATTGGCAATCCTGTCTTCAGGATGTGTGCCCTGCTCTGTTCTGCTTCTTTTGTGCTGCAGTATAGGTATATGGATGAGGACTGGACGTACTGCATGTTCACTCCCTTTGCAGGAGAATTGCAGATGTTTGAACAGAGCTGGAGACAGTGGGAAAATCAAGTTGCCTAAGCATTATCCTTAATTTTTCTCACATGGTCATGAATTTTGTGGGCAGCCTGGATGACTCTGGAACTTTGCTCTTAACATGTTTAGAGTGGGAATCTGGGTGTATTGTCAAACGTCATTGAGTTTCTGCACTCCTTCTGTATTGTTCTTGGAGCATGATCAGCCACTCAAAGTCAAGCAAAAGTGTTCTTCTGTAGTAGTCCCTCCCTAACACAGACCTTTCACCTCTCCCTTAATTGCAGCTGGAAGTGGGAGGGATGAATTGTGATCTTTACAGAGCTGTGTAAAAGGAATTGCCTGAACTGGAAGAAAGAAGAAACTAACCGGTTCTCTTTGTTGTACAAAGTAGTGTCTTGGATGCTCCAGTCAGGCCCCAGACCGTGTCTTTTCGCAAACTATACAAAGGTCTAGAATTGATATTCCAGATGTGTTGCGAACACATATATTATTTTGCTGCTGCTGCTGCTTCTATTGCCTCTTACATTCACTGAAGGTAAGTCCAAAATGGACATCTGGAATTTTTTCCTTTCTTTTGTGGTAGGTGATTTTTTAAAATTCTAACTTCTCATCTCGGTTGCTTGCATGAGAGAAGAAAGAAATGAAAGATCAGAAAGAAAGGGTCCTTTTTTAGCAACAGTATGGTAGGTTTCTTTACAGTTGATAATGAGCCAGTTTCTTGCTTGTGTGATTGAAGCTCACTGCTTTTTTTACAAATACCAACTATTCTAATTAGAATAGGAATGTTCATAGCAGATTCACAGAGCAAAGGAGCAAACGTACTCAAGGTTTGCAATAGCTTGCCTCAAAAGACATGACAGGAGGAACCTGTCATATAACTGAAAATTACAGTAATGTATAAAAGAGAAAGATTGGAATAAAAATAAGCAAGAGATGGAATCTGTAACCACTCAGAGTCATTCAGGGAGTTGGGCAGCAAATAAACTTAATAGACAATGATGATGATGAATCTAACCAATACCGATCTTATTGAACTGCTATATTATATGTTAAATATTAAAAAATCAAGCTGAGTTTTTCTTTTTAAAGGATTAATTCTGGTTCCTTTAAAATCGGAAGAAATTCAACAATTTCCTTAGGATCTGATTAAGACTTAGCTTAAAAAAAATAAATGGGAAGATAAGTAACTAGAATAAAAACATGGGATTTTTTTTCTCAGAATAGTTTGAAAAGCCTCCCACTGTTACAGCTGCTAGTGTAGTAAGCTTGGCATATTGTGGAATGTGAATAAAGTGTAGCATTTTAACCAGTTAGCACAAGGGCCAGTTTAACAGAGCTTCCCCTCTTTCCCCCTCCACGTCAGTAACTCAGATCTAATCCTGCTGATTTATAAACAAGATCATCTGTGTTCACTGAACTTGCAAGAAGATGATTGTGGAAGTGTACCCTAAAAACTATCCTTAACATCACCGGTACAAGCTCTGTCCTGATATTGAGAACACGAGAACCATAGCTAGAATATGTATTCACCCCATCTGGAAAGGTATAGAAATCACTGTTAGTCTGTTCAAAATGAATTCAGGGCATTTTTAAAAACCTGCCAATCATATTTTTAAGGGAGAAATGAAATGCGTTCAAATCTCATTTGCAGTGTGCTTTTAAAATGTTAAAAACAATGAAAGACATAGACTGGGTGGTTCAGATGTACAGTTTAGGCTCATACAGTATCAGCCCTTTCCAGAAAGGGAGCTTTATTCATCTCTGGCATCAAAAAGACACAACGAATCTTACAGTGCTTTAAAGACTCAGACAGCCTTTACAGCAGAAGCTTTCATGGAGCTACATCTGGTGCAAGGGATTGTAGTCCATGCTGGTTATGCCGGGCAGAAATCATTTATTTGCTTAAAACCAAAGGTCGTTATGGAGCAGGAAACACCATCCAAGCAATCAAACCAGATGAATCCCAGAACAAGTAAGTATATGATTCTGCCCCATGGGCAATGCAGCTCTTTGTGTGTGTGAGGTCTTTGCTTTTGTGCTGTTTTGGCTTCTCCCCTGTGCCTTTGGGGCTCGGAGATTGACTCCTTATGTTGAGAATCAAAGCCATTTTTTGGCGACATCCTGTCTGTACAATTCTATGCTCGGAAGGGCTAATGGAGGCCGCTCGGCCCATTTGCTTTGAAAGCTGACTAAATCTTTCCTACAGAAAAATAGCTGTTTGAGAATACAGTTTTATGAACCAATCTAGAAATAAGGACGGCTGATGCACGACTGATCTGCACCCGTTCTCTGGGAATGCTGTCGTGATTTGCTTTTGTTTTAGTTTCCCACTCTGGAGTTAATGTTTTATCTGTTATCTTCTACCTTGCTGTCTGGCAAGATTACATGTTTAGGATGAGAGATGATTCCGTTTTAGGGACAAAAGGGAAACTGAACCGTGTTTCTCCATACACAATTCTTATATTTCTTTGCCTTATGATCTTGCCACCTCTCTTTTCTTCAGTCCTGTTATCCTGCCTCTTCCTATTTGCCCAATATTTCCTCTTGGTGTATGGCATGAGGGTCATACATTAATTTAATTTAATTTGCCCAACAAGGTGTTTTCCAGATGAACACTTTGTTCTAGGAATTCTGATGATCCCAGCATATCTGGAAGGAATCAAGCGACAGAAGACTCTACTTTGCAATAAGAAACTTTCAAAATCAATACAAGGACAAAAATTATACATACATACATATAATTATATACACATGTATGAGAAATGTGTATTTCTCATACATGTGTATATATCTAATTTTTTAAACAAAATTTCTTTACTCCCCCTTTTCCCTTTTCTTTTTTTCCTTTTTGATATTGTCCCCCCCCCCCCCTTTTTTCGTGTTTTTAAATATATCCAGCCAAAAAAAAAATAAGGGCTTTTAAAAAGAAAAAATTTGGGAAAAAAGAAAAAAATCCCAGCCTTTAA